TTTGAAGCTAGTTTTCCCAGGTCACACCAGTTGAGGCCGCTCTCAGTCTGTAGTCTGGACGTCTCTCCTCCAAGTGTTTCTGGGTCACCCTCTGTTTCCTTTCCCCTGTGGGTTCCATTTCACCCACTGGGACAGACGTCAATTAAATGTCTATTCCACGTTGGTTCAATGTAATTTAATTGAAATGACATGGACACAATGTTGATTTAACCAATGTGTGCCCAGTGGGCAGGGACTGCCGAGTGATGATGGATGTCGGTTTCTGAAGGGTGTCCAATCCAACCACTCATCTTTTTATTTTTCAGGAGGATCTTGAACATGGTGGATGGACTGACAACCTGAAAAATGAAATGTGGACCTGTGGGAGAAAACTGGAACGGAACCCATTGACCTACACAAATATAGTAAATATTATTTTGAATCAACAAATCACATTACAGTTGAGAAGGATTCAAGCATTTCATAGGTCATGGATATACAACACAGGAGGTTGGTGGCACTGTAACTGGGGGAAGACAGGCTCGTGGTAATGGCTGGAGTGGAATAAGTGGAATGGTATCAAATACATCAAACACATGGTTTCCATGTGTTTGATGCCATTTCATTCTCTCCGTTCCAGCCATTATTATGAGCCGTCCTCCCCTCAGCAGCCTCCACTGATATACAGTATGGACACATGGATACAGAAAGCAACTTCTTCTCCATACAGCAAGGCTACCCATGACAGCTGACACAGAGCAGTACCTCGCTAGCTGCTTTGCCTTTCTCCTATGCAGGCCTGCAATCTGAAGGCTACGTACTGTCAGCCTAACTACCTTAGCCAAATACATTTAAACTCAGTTTTTCACAATTCCTGACATTTAATCAGAGTAAAAATTCCCTGTCTTAGGTCAGTTAGGATCACCACTTTATTTTAAGAATGTGAAATGTCAGAATAATAGTAGAGAGAATTATTTATTTCAGCTTTTATTTCTTTCATCACATTCCCAGTGGGTCAGAAGTTTACATACACTGAATTAGTATTTGGTAGCATTGCCTTTAAATTGTTTAACTTGGGTCAAACGTTTTGGGTAGCCTTCCACAAGCTTCCCACAGGAGAATTTTGACCCATTCCTCCTGATAGAGCTGCTGTAACTGAGTCAGGTTTGTAGGCCTCCTTGCTCGCACACGCTTGTTCAGTTCTGCCCACAAAATGTCTATAGGATTGAGGTCAGGGCTTTGTGATGGCCACTCCAATACCTTGACTTTGTTGTCCTTAAGCCATTTTGCCACAACTTTGGAAGTATGCTTGGGGTCATTGTCCATTTGGAAGACCCATTTGCGACCAAGCTTTAACTTCCTGACTGATGTCTTGAGATGTTGCTTCAATATATCCACATAATTTTCCTTCCTCATGATGCCATCTATTTTGTGAAGTGCACCAGTCCCTCCTGCAGCAAAGCACCCCCACAGCATGATGCTGCCACCCCCGTGCTTCACGGTTGGGATGGTGTTCTTCGACTTGCAAGACGAACGTGGTACCTTCAGGCGTTTGGAAATTGCTCCCAAGGATGAACCGGACTTGTGGAGGTCTACCATTTTTTTTCTGAGGTCTTGGCTGATTTCTTTTGATTTTCCCATGATGTCAAGCAAAGAGGCACTGAGTTTGAAGGTAGGCCTTGAAATACATCCACAGGTACACCTCCAATTGACTCAAATTATGTCAATTAGCCTATCAGAAGCTTCCAAAGCCATGACATCATTTTCTGGAATTTTCCAAGCTGTTTAAAGGCACAGTCAACTTAGTGTATGTAAACTTCTGACCCACTGGAATTTTGATACAGTGAATTATAAGTGAAATAATCTCTGTAAACAATTGTTGGAAAAATTACTTGTGTCATGCACAAAGTAGACGTCCTAACCGACTTGCCAAAACTATAGTTTATTAACAAGAAATGTGTGGAGTGGTTGAAAAACAAGTTTTAATGAACCTAAGTGTATGTAAACTTCCGACTTCAACTGTACATGGGCAAGACTCCCAAATATCAGCACTACGTTTGCACTGATAACCAAGGCTATTCAGGTGTGACATGGGGGGCTGGTACTTCAGCAACTTGTCATCAAAGGCCTGCTCCACGTAGGGGTGAAAATAGCAACCCTCTTCCAAAATGAGCACCTCCCTCCGGCCTCCCCCACAACAACAATATCTGACATATAAGAAAACATCATCAACATGCATGAATATGCACTGATGGTGTTACCGCCGGTCTCACCTCATTAGCTATCAGGTTGACGAAGCGGTCACGTCTAGCGATGTATAAGTCCTTGTATGAACAGCAATCATTAACAATATGTGAAACAGACTCCATTACATTTGACTCATGTAAGATACAAAACGGATGATGGTTTGCAGGGTACCAGAGTGCTAGGTTGTATTTTGTTGGTAGAACCTGAAGCCTCGCCTTAACAGTGGTCAGTGTCCTCGCCAATAGCAGCATTCTGGTACATGGGATGGTAGCTGGCGAGTGGGGGAAACAAGTTGTAGAGCTTGCCCATGACTATTCAATCAGGCTTGATATGATTGACATTTCCCCTCTGCCTGTGGTCATGAAGCTAGGGGCTGTGAGAAAAGTGGCTTTAGCAACGGTTCAACATATGTTTGCCAATGTGCATATCCCACAGAAGGTTTTAAGGGAAATGAACAACAAAACTGTTCAAGTAGGGAGAAAGTTTCTATCCTTAAACACACACACCACCAGTGAAGTTATCTTTCTGAGCCAAAAAGAGGGGGGTGTCCCAAACGGAGGATTTAAATATTTATAACCCAGTGTGAATATTCATAGTGTTCTTTGTGAAGTGTCAGAACACACACACACACACATACACACACACACACACTCACACACACACACACACACACACACACATAGGGCATGTTCCTCAACTAAGGCGAGGCGATGCAACAACCAATGGGCGAACTCTGCCGATTCACGCTGGGTTCATAGTCCAAAAACGTATCCAGAGACGGAAGAGGAAGCGAGACACCCCACTCAACGTTTTTCTCTGGTTCAATGAAAGTCAATGAACTAAGTAGACCATACCCAGCTCGGGTCATAACCTCAGAGCATGAATATAAAATGTTAATATCTTCGGATGTGAGTGATGAAAAAAAAAAAACGGCCTCGGTGACAATCATTTGAATAATTTTGTAATTTGACTTCTCTATGGGAATTGTCTTTCTCTGCCGTGATTCAGTTAAACTGCTGTACCGAAGCAATACTGTAGGTGCAGTCAAAAGCGTGCTTCCAGACTGGAACCCTGGGCCCTTGGTCTCAACAGCCGAGCTCATGCAGCTCATTGACCAAATTAATATTTGGCGGGAAAAAGGGAGCCGAGCACCAAGTTATGCTAATTACCTCCATCTACATGGGAGGTGTGAATTGCAGGCTAATACCACTGCCATGTGACAGGTAGCCTAGAATCCACAATAGCCTAGCCATTAGCCCAAACAAATAAAATTATATTTGTGCATCCAGGTATACTTATATGGGTGAATCAATTTATTTTTATGACATAATTTCATATGATTTAATACGTTATTAACAAAGTATGTTCCATTTGAAGTATAAAACAAAAATAAACATTATTACATGAAACAAAACATTTAATAATTTTAAGACTACAGGAAATAGGTTTACCGCTATGTTAAACAACTGCAGTAATGGATGCGTTGGTTTTCAACAGCCTGGTGGCTATTGTAGTCTTTTGACTGTAGAAAAACAGGGATCTCTAAAGTTGTGCCAGGAGGCGCAGGCAGCATGCGAGGGCAGGAGGGGAAACTGCACAGGCGCCTTTCCTAGTCGGTCTGGAACTCAACCATATACATAATCTACACAGCACACAAATGCACTCGAAACAGCAGTGTAGTTCATTGTATCTTTATTATTGTAATAATCGTCACTGATAAAGTTGAGAGACAGACAGGACAAGCAGAAACAGGTGGTTGGATATTAACATGCTCAGGTCTGATTGTGGCATTACACTTTGGCTTTAAAACAAACAGAAGGCACTTAAACAGAAGAGGATCAAGTTGTCTCTTAGACACAGATCTAGGATCAGTTACCCTTTATCCAATCCTATGGTTATGATGGGAAAGAAACACAAACCTGACCTTAGATCAGTGTCTAAGGGTAACTTTATCCTCCTCGCACATAAACATGAAAAGCAAAGGCACTTATGGAGGGGCGGGACTAGGGCAAGAGAGGGATCACTGATTGGTCAGATAATGTTTTGACTGATAGGGGCCAGCATGGTTTTAGTATTCAGCTAGGGCTGACTCAGAACATTACAGAAATGTTAGATAAGGTTCGGACCCCCCCCCCCCCCCCATCCGTGAATGAGTCCCTCTGTCGCCCAGGTAACAGTTCCCATGCCAACCACAGAGAGAAAGACAGGTAAAAAAAGAACAAGGAGAAAACAGCAATAAAAACCTTTCTTTGTGTTCTTGGTATTATTTAACACATCTTATAATTATCTTAAAGTAAAATATGAATACAGTTAATCAATTATACCATAATGGGACTGTCTGTATGCATGTAAGGATCAATATATGTACGGTATACTGTATGTGTGTTTGTGTGTTGATATCTGTGTCTAGCCTATGAGAGTATAATTATCATTACCTTTGGCTCTCTGCACCTTATAATAATAATAATAATAATAATAATAATAATAATAATTGGCTTTTTGATATTTGGACCATTCTCATATTGAAATCATTGGCTTTTCAGTTCAGTTCTACATAAACATACAGGGAATGTGATTGGCTTAGACAGGAGTGGGGAACACTGAGGAAGAGTGTAGTAGTGACACACACACACACTGGCACACACAAACTTATCTTTGGACCTCTACTCCTTAGATAATTGGTTATAAAGAAGTAATGGGATAAGGACATGATGCATTCTCTCTGAGGAGGACCGAGGAAGACCATGAGGGTGGCGGTGATGAAGGAGGTCTCACTCGGACCAATCGTCATCGCCCATCTCCGAGGAGTCATCCTCACTGTCGCTGCACTCCACAGCAATACGGCGAGACAAGATGGCCGCCACGTCGTTGCCGTAGTTATCCTTCTTCTCCTGCTCTTTCTGTTCCTCCACCTTACGCAGGTTAAAACCTGCCAGAGAGAAAGGGAGGGAGAGAGAGGGGGGATTAGGGTGTGTCTGTATGTCTGTCTGTCTGTCTGTCTGTCTATAGAGATAAATATATATATGTCGTACCTTGCCGGATAGCCGACAGCAGGTCACTGTGAGCGTCAGCAGGGGCTTCTGGCTGAGCCTGGGTGGATTTAAGAGGAGGGGGAGCCCCAATGGAGAAGGAGGGGGGAGGAGGGCCAGAAGAGGGGGGAGGAGGGCCTGGGGGAGGCGGAGGAGGAGGAGGAGGTGCGCCACCACCCTGGGGGAGAGAGGGGGGAGGCGGTGGAGAGATGGAGGTCTGAGAGGAAGGAGGAGGTGGGGCAGGGGGGGAGGGATAGGCGGAGGAAGAGAGAGGAGGGGGAGCAGGTGGGGAAGAGTCAAATCCAGAGGGGGGAGGAGGGGGAGGGATTCCGAAGCCAGCGGAGGGGGGAGGAGGAGGTGGGGCAGGGGGAGAGCCCAGGTTGGGCCGGGCGCCAATGGGAGCAGAAGAGGGCATGGGAGGGGCTGGAGGGGGGTGTGTGGGGCTCAGAACGCTGGTGCGCTTCTGGGTTGGTGCTCCGTACTGTCCGTCATGATACCTGCCAATGAGAGAGCAGGGGAAGGATTAAGGTCAGCGCACGGATTCTCCAAAACACAACTTTCGGCAAACGATTTTGTCCACTTGAGATGAAGGGTGTTGACTGGCGAGTAAATACTAATGCTAACAACGCTAAATTAGCATAACATATGTGTAAAAACGACAGTATATGCACAATTTAAATGTGCATACACTGCTCCACTCCATCCCCGTTACATACGTCATGTCTGGGGGTGGAGGGGGTAGGAAGTCGTCCGGGGCGGGGGGAGGGAGGGGGGAGCCAGGATCGAAGGCGTATGACCCTGTACTCTGGTCCAAACCATCAGGGGAGTAACAGCCTTCTCCTGAACCAATACTGCCATTCAGACCCTCAAGAGATTCTCTACATACAAAATGCACAAAAAAAAGAGTGAATATTTTCATCAATGACAACACAATTAAACAGTTTAAAACCATTCTATAGGACAACACTCTCCTGTACACACTCACGATCTCCCTCCCTCATATTCTCTTTCTCCTCACTCCACTTCATACACTCTCGCCCCACCCTCTTTCTCCTCTCTCCATTTCTCGCCCTGTTCTCATTCTCTCTCCTCTCTCACCCCATGTCATTCTTGGGCACCACAAACTCCTCCCCCATCTTGAGCCGTTCCCACTCATCCTTCCTGGTCTTGATCTTCCTGGGATTCAGAGTCCGCATATTCTGATTGTCCTTCTTCTCCTTCTACTCAGACAGAGAGATAAAGTGAGGGGGGTGACAAAGAGAGAGGAAAGGAGGGAGAGAGTGAGAGGAGCGAGAGAGAAAGAGATAGACAGGGAGGGAGAGAGACGGAGAGAGCGTGCGAGAGAGAGACAGAGAGAAAGACAGGGAAATAGAGAGAGAAACAACAGGAAAGGGCAATTTAACAGCGCTATAAGTGCACTTCCTTGTTTTGTTTAAGCAGGAGATGAGATGCATTTACCAACAGGCCGAAAACAAACTCCACTGTCTCATTGAAGGACGTGTGTGTGTGTGTAGACTAACAGGTGTAGACTAACAGTGAAATGCTTACTTACGGGCCCTTCCCCACAATGCAGAGAGAAACATAGAAACATAATAGAAAAATAATAACACGAGGAATAAATACACTGAGTAACGATAACTTGGTTATATACACGGGGTACCAGTACCCAGTTGACGTGCAGGGGTACGAGGCAATTGAGGTAGATATGTACAGTGCATTCAGAAAGTATTCAGACCCCTTCCCCTTTTTGTTACGTTAGAGCCTTATTCTGAAATTGATTGAATTCATTTTTTCCCTTATCAATCTACACACAATACCCCATAATGACAAAGCAAAAACAGGTTTTTAAAAACTTTTGCAAATTTATTACAAATAAAACAAATAAGTATTCAGATCCTTTGCTCAGTACTTTGTTGATGCACCTTTGGCAGCGATTACAGCCTTGAGTCTTCTTGGGTATGATGCTACAAGCTTGGCACACCTGTATTTGGGGAGTTTCTCCCATTCTTCTTTGCAGATCCTCTCAAGCTCTGTCAGGTAGGATCGGTAGCGTCGCTGCCCACCTATTTTCAGGTCTCTCCAGAGATGTTCGATCGGGTTCAAATCTGGGCTCTGGCTGGGCCACTCAAGGACATTCAGAGACTTGTCCCGAAGCCACTCATGCGTTGTCTTGGCTGTGTGCTTAGGGTCATTGTCCTGTTGGTAGGTGAACCTTCACCCCAGTCTCAGGTCCTGAGTGCTCAGGAGCAGGTTTTCATCAAGGATCTCTCTGTACTTTGCTCCGTTAATCTTTCCCTCGATCCTGACTAATCTCCCAGTCCCTGCCACTGAAAAACATCCCTACAGCATGATGCTGCCACCACCATGCTTCCCGGTAGGGATGGTGCCAGGTTTCCTCCAGACGTGACGCTTGGCATTCAGGCCAAAAAGTTGAATCTTGGTTTCATCAGATCAGAGAATCTTGTTTCTCATGGTCTGAGAGTCCTTAGGTGCATTTTGTCAAACTCCAAGCGGGCTGTCATGTGCCTTTTACTGAGGAGTGGCTTCTGTCTGGCCACTCTACCATAAAGGCCTGATTGGTGGAGTGCTGCAGAGATGGTTGTCCTGCTAGAAGGTTCTCCCATCCCCACAGAGGAACTCTGGAGCGTGACCATCGGGTTCTTGGTCACCTCCCTGATCAAAGTCCTTCTCACCGATTGCTCAGTTTGGCCGGGCGGCCAGCTCTAGGAAGAGTCTTTTACATTTACATTTTAGTCATTTAGCAGACGCTCTTATCCAGAGCGACTTACAGTTAGTGAATACATATTTTTTTTATACTGGCCCCCCGTGGGAATCGAACCCACAACCCTGGCGTTGCAAACGCCATGCTCTATCAACTGAGCTACATCCCTGCCGGCCATTCCCTCCCCTACCCTGGACGACGCTGGGCCAATTGTGCGCCGCCCATGAGTCTCCCGGTCGCGGTCGGCTGCGACAGAGCCTGGATTCGAACCAGGATCTCTAGTGGCACAGTTAGCACTGCGATGCAGTGCCTTAGACCACTGCGCCACTCAGGAGTACAGTCTTGGTGATTCCAAACTTCTTCGATTTAAGAATGATGGAGGCCACTGTGTTCTTGGGGACCTTCAATGCTGCAGAGATGTTTTGGTACCCTTCCCCAGATCTGTGCCTTGACAAAATCATGTCTCGGAGCTCTACGGACAATTCATTCGACCTCATGGCTAGGTTTTTGCTCTGACATGCACTGTCAACTGTGGGACCTTATATAGACAGGTGTGTGTCTTTCCAAATCATGTCCAATCAATTGAATTTACCACAGGTGGACTCCAATCAAGTTGTAGAAACATCCCAAGGATGATCAATGGAATCAGAATGCACCTTAGCTCAATTTCGAGTCTCATAGCAAAAGGTCTGAATACTTATGTAAATACGTTTTTTCTGTATTTTATTTTGTATAAATGTGCAAAACTTTCTAAAAACCTGTTTTTGCTTTGACATAATGGGGTATTGGGTATTGATGAGGAAAAAATGAAATTTAATCCATTTTAGATTAAGGCTGTAACGTAACAAAATGTGGAAAAAGGGAAGGGGTCTGAATACTTTCCGAATGCACTGTACATATACACTGAGTGTACAAAATATTTGGAACACCTTCCTAATATTGAGTTGCACCCCCTTTTGCCCTCAGAACAGCCTCAATTCGTCGAGGCATGACTCCACAAGGTGTCGAAAGCGTTCCACCGGGATACTGGCCCATGCTTCCCACAGTTGTGTCAAGTTGGCTGGATGTCCTTTGGATGGTGGACCATTCTTGCTACACACAGGAAACTGTTGAGCATGAAAATCCCAGCAGCGTTGCAATTCTTGACACACTCAAACTGGAGCGCCTGGCACCAACTAGCATACCCCGTTCAAAGGCACTTAAATCTTTTGTCTTGCCCATTCACCCTCTGAATGACACACATACACAATCTGTCTCAACTGTCTCAAAGGCTTAAAAATCCTTCTTTAACCGGTCTCCTCCCCTTCATCTAAACTGATTGAAGTGGATTCAACAGGTAACATCAATAAGGGATCATAGCTTTCACTTGGATTCACCTGGTCCGTCTATGTTATGGAAAGAGCATGTTTTGTACACTCAGTGTAGGTAGGGGTAAAGTTACTAGGCAACAGAATAGATAAACAATAGCAGCAGCGAATGTGATGAGTCAAAAGAGTTAGTCAATGCAGATAGTCCGGGTAGCTATTTGGTTAAATATTTGTCAGTCTTATGGCTTGGGGGTAGAAGCTGTTCACGGTTCTGTTGGTTCCAGACTTGGTGCATCCGTACTGCTTGCTGTGCGGTAGCAGAGAGAACAGTCTATGACTTGGGTGCCTAGAGTCTTTGACAATTTTTAGGGCCTTCCTTTCACACTGCCTGATATAGAGGTCCTGGATGGCAGGGAGCTCGGCCCCAGTGATGTACTGGGCCGTACGCACAACCCTCTGTAGCGCCTTGCTGCCGGATGCCAAGCAGTTGCCATACTAAGCTATAATGAAGACAGTCAAGAAGCTCTCAATGGAGCATCCTTTTTGAGGATCTGAGGGCCAATGCCAAATCTTTACCATTGTCGTGCCTTCTTCACGACTGTGTTGGTGTGTGTGGATCATGTTAATTCATTAGTGATGTGGACACTGAGGAACTTGAAGCCCTCAACCCACTCCACTGATGTGGATGGGGGCCTGCTCCGTCCTCAGTTTCCTGTAGTCCACGATCAGCTCCTTTGTCCTGCTGATGTTGAGGGAGACGTTGTTGTCCTCGGACCACACGGTGATCAGGCCTACCAGTTCTGTCGTCAGCAAACTTAATTGTGTTGGAGTCGTGGGTGAACAGGGAGTACAGGAGGGGACTAAAGTCGTCCACATGCTTCACCGCCGAAACAGTTCAGAAGAGATTGTCTATATATTATGACAACATTTTGTGCCATTTTTGTTTGTACGTTTTCGGCTACCGACTTCGGGCACACACAAAAGAATCTAGAGGCAAGCCGAAGTCGGTAGCCATAGTCGGTAGCCGAAGTCGGTAGCCGAAGTCTACGCCCCTTCGTCTGTGATTGGTCAACAGTAGGGATTCTTCAATAAAATATTTGTTGTCATTCAATGAGAGATGACTCGTTTTCATGCACATTCTTTCATTGCGAAATAATGCACCAAACACTTGGATGTAAAATTGCGCGACTAAGATCTCCTTGGCAAAAACATAAAAATTAATGACAGATTTCTTGAGTTGATTGAGATTAATTAATAAGACTATTTTGAGAAAGTGTATACTGGCTACGGCGTCTCAAAATGGACAAACAGTACCGTAGGTCTTTTAAGGGAGTATGCAAGCACACTTGTTCGGGCCAGCCGAACTGAAGTATGCTGACGCCTTAAGCACGCACCACTGAGGGGCCCCCCGTGTTCAGGATCAGCGTGGCAGATGTGCTGTTACCTACCCTCACCACCTTGGGGCGACCCGTCAGGAAGTCCAAGATTCAGTTGCTAAATGTAAATGTAATGTTGGGGTGAATTGGAGTGGGTCCAGGATGTCTGGGATGATGGTGTTGATGTAAGCCATGACCAGCCTTTCAAAGTATTTAATGGCTACAGATGTGAGTGCTACGGGCCGATAGACAGGTTACTTTGGCAGTCTTTGGTCTCCTTGAGTCAGGGAGAGGTTGAAAATATCAGTGAAGACACTGAACAGCTGGTCAGCGCATGCTCTGAATACGTGTCCTGGTAATCCTTCTGGCCCTACAACCTTGTGAATGTTAACCTGTTTTAAGGTCTTACTCACATCGGCTATGGACAACGAGATCACACAGTCGTCCGGAACAGCTGGTTGCATGATTCAGTGTTGCTTGCCTCAACGCAAGCATAGAAGGCATTTAACTCGTCTGGTAGGCTCACGTCACTGAGCAGCTGGGTTTCCCTTTGTAATCTGTGATAGTTTGTAAGCCCTGCCACATCCGACGAGCGTCAGAGCCGGAGTAGTAGGATTCGATCGTAGTCCTGTATTTACGCTTTGCCTGTTTGATGGCTCGTCGGAAGTCTTAGCAGGATTTCTTATAAGTGTCCGGATTAGTGCCCCACTCCTTGAAAGCTGCAGCTCTATCCTTTAGCTCAGTATGGATGTTGCCTGTAATCCATGGCTTCTGGTTGGGATATGTACGTACGGTCACTGTTGGGACGACGTTGTTGATGTACTTATTAATGAAGCTGGTGACTGATGTGTTTGAGTTTTTGCGACTGTACGTTCGCTTATAGAACGGAGGGTAGAGGCGTTTTATTTGCTCGCCAACGTAGTCTCTTCTACCTCTCTTGCGCCGGCACTTCCTCTTTCGAGTCCCGGGGATTAAGGCCTGGTCCGGAGTAAGCAGAACGGCCAGAGCTGCCGAATCATAAAAGTAGAAATTGTCATCCAAATCAAGGTTAGTGATCGGCGTTCTGATGAAATGATAGCGGAGACATGCTGTACAAAAAAAGTTAAGATCAGCATAAAAAGCAACACAAAATATCAAAATTGGTCAGGAGCCCGTAAAACGGTTGCTATCCTCTGCAGCGCCATCTTACTGTGTGTGTATGTTACCCTGTGTTTACCCTGTGTTTGCGTCTCTCCTTCATGATATCCTTGGTGTCCTGCAGCATCTTCTCCTTCCACAGATCAAAGAAGTAGGAGGGATCCGTGTAGAACTTCAGAGCATCCTTACCATCATCCCTAGACATGACAACAACAGACAATATTAGTGTGTGTGTGTGTATGTGTGTGTGTGTGTGTGTGTGTGTGTGTGTGTGTGTGTGTGTGTGTACCTGTACTGGCTGAGGTTGTTGAGTGGTGGAGGTGGGTTGCAGGTCAGATAGGTCTCCTGTACAGGCAGTGGTAGAGAGTGTCTACAGAACAACTGCTGGTCCTGAGTCAGATTACTATGAAACGCTTTCTTCTGGGTGATGGCCTGCAGAGAGACTGAGAGAGAGATGGAGGGAGGAGGGAGGGTGGAGAGAGAGATGGAGGGTGGGGAGAGGTGGAGAGAGAGCGTGATATGGAGAGAGAGAGGTGAAGAGAGCGAGATGGAGAGAGAGAGATAGGTGGAGAGAGAGAGAGAGTTAGGGTTAGTATTCCTTTTGTTTGAGTCAAAAGTATACAGTATGTGGCAGTATGTGTTGCATTACATTATACTTAAAGTCTACTGAATTCTGACTTTGAATACTAAATACAAGGCACTGTTTGCATGTAACATAAAGCGGTTTTCCCGGACACAGGTTGAGCCTAATTATGAACTAAAGATCATGTTCAATGAATATTCTCCATTTAAATTGCTTTTAAGTCTAATAGGCTTAATCGGCATGCGGGAAACCCCCCCATGGTGTATACTGTCAGTATCTTACCCTCCTCCTCTTTAGGGTCGAGCTGGGTGACTTTGACCTGTAGACGGTCCACTCTCTCTCCCAGTGTGTTCACCCTGACAGCAAATGTCCCCGCCTGCACAAACAGCTCTCCAAACACATCCTCCGCATACTTACCTACACACACACACACACACACACACACACACACACACACACACACACAAACAAATGTATATTATAGCCTAAATACATAGTGTACAAAACATTATGAACACCTGCTCTTTCCATGATAGACTGACCAGGTGAATCCAGGTGAAAGCTATGATCACTTATTGATGTCACTTGTTAATAATAATAATAATAATAATAATAATAATAATAATAAGCCATTTAGCAGATGCTTTTATCCAAAGCGACTTACAGTCATGTGTGCATACATTTTTACGTATGGGTGGTCCCGGGGATCGAACCCACTACCCTGGCGTTACAAGCGCCATGCTCTACCAATTGAGCTACAGAGGACCACAATTGTTAAATCCACTTCAATCAGTGTAGATGAAGGGGAGGAGACAGGTTAAAGAAGGATTTTTAAGCCTTGAGACAATTGAGACATGGATTGTGTATGTGTGCCATTCAGAGGGTGAATGGGCAAAACAAAATATTTAAGTGCCTTTGAACGGGAGTATGGTAGCAGGTGAGGCTGTTCTGAGGGCAAAAGGGGGGAGCTGCAACTCCATATTAGGAAGGTGTTGTTAATATTTTGTACACTCAGTGTATATACACATGATTACATATGAGACACACACTTGCAATTTACACACACAATCTCATATTACAATACACATGCACTTCCCTAGGTATAAACTCACACACCACACGCAGAGTGAGTAACTTACTGAGGCTGCCTAGCTGGCGTATGATGTTGGCGAGGCTAATGTTGGTGACACACTCCAGCTCACTGCGGATGGTGTTGGGGATCGTCTGGCGGCACACATGACGAGGCTCGATGTTCCTCGTCACCAATGGCATTCTGGGACGGGAGGGGGAACGGGGGGCTTCCCTGGAGAGGGGGGGGGGGTTAGGGAGCACGTGAGAAAGGCAGACAGACAGATTGAGACAGACGCATGGCCGGACAGACACACACACCTAGCACCATTCAAATAGAGAAGACATACCCAATTCTAGGACTGACCCCATTTAGTCGACTGGTCGATTGTTTGGTTGATAGGCTGTTGGTCGACCAAGTATTTTTGTCAAGCAGTCAGCTGAGCACAAGACACCAGTCTGATTGTGGACTAATCCATTGTGGAGGCTGTGGGGATGTCACAGTCCATCACTCTATGACATGTGCTACTGAAATTGTACTTGGTTTTATTATGTAAGAACAATGGTGCAACACTAATAAAAATAATATTATTTTATAACAAATTAGCTTTCTCCCGCGTTGGATAGCGGTCCGCTGTCTGTGGTTCTGAAACATCAGTGCGCTGTTGAATTGGCTGGCGCCTTTTCCTAGACCATGTTGCTATGTGCATAATAGCAAAGTTAACCAGCATATTGGTGTTGAGAACAATGTGGAGGAGGCAGCAGCGGAGTGAGGAGACGAGAAAACGGCCTTTGCCTTGATTGTCTAAAGTGAAGAGAGATGAAACCCAACGTAAATAGGTCTATAATCAATAGCCTAACTGTTAAATGTGCCTGACTTTATAAATCATCCGATTTATATATCTACAGAATATATCTATATATCTACACTCATATATATCTACAGAAATAAGACAAATCCTGCTTCTGTTGCCTGTTGGAGTGTTTGCTTAATAGCCTGTTTCCGTGAGCTCCAAGCCTTATGCAACCACAACATGTCGGAAAAAGCAATTTGACAAATATGTCTGTTTTTAATCTTTGCTATGCTGTAATAAAGGCTTTACGCTTTCTTTCCATTACAACAGCCTCTCTGGTATTACTTATCATTTATTTAGTGTTGTTTACACTGTTCCAAATGGTCAGAAAAATTATAATATTGTAATCTAACAGCACCTGTTTGTCACACATAATCCGCATGCAGCTCTCACTCCTATACCCTCCTTTTTCTTGATCTTCTCCTTCTTATTATTACAATTATTATTATGATCATTATAATAATACATAATGTCATTATCATTAGTAGGCTTAGTATAGCAGCCTTGTATAACCACTATCGAGCTGTAGGCCTACTTAGGCCTATATGTCAATATATAGGCTACTGTACCAATCAATCATTCATTCGTTCATGTCATCACACAGCATATGAGTCATTCATGATTTGAAATGCAATTAAGCATTTTTGTAATAAAATGAAGTAACAAAGGAAGCATTGAATAATTAGCCTAAACAATAATATAAACGACTGTTTTTAGTCTTTGCTCTTATAAATGTATCTAGTGTTGTTTACACTGTTCCAAATGGTCCGGGATAAAAAAAATATTGTAATCTAACAGCACCTGTTTGGCATACATAATATGCATGGCTATGCAGCGCTTTCTCCTTGCCTTCCTTCTTTTTCTTGCTCTCCAGTAGTTTCCACAACTAAGTCTAATTTCTTCCACACATCTGACTTCCCCTTTCCCGTCTGAGCAAGAAACAACTACAGACCAGTATCCCTTCTTTCTTTTCTCTCCAAAACTATTGAGCGTGTCGTCTTTAGCCAACTCTCTTGCTATCTCTCTCAGAATGACCTTCTTGATCCAAACCAGTCAGGTTTCAAGACTGGTCATTCAACTGAGACTGCTCTTCTCTGTGTCACGGAGGCTCTCCGCACTGCTAAAGCTAACTCTCTCTCCTCTGCTCTTGTCCTTCTAGACCTGTCTGCTGCCTTTGATACTGTGAACCATCAGATCCTCCTCTCCACCCTCTCCGAGCTGGGCATCTCCGGCGCTGCTCACTCTTGGATTGCGTCCTACCTGACCGGTCGCTCCTACCAAGTGGCGTGGCGAGAAGCTGTCTCCGCACCACGTGCTCTCACCACTGGTGTCCCCCAGGGCTCGGTTCTAGGCCCTCTCCTATTCTCGCTATACACCAAGTCACTTGGCTCTGTCATATCCTCACATGGCCTCTCCTATCATTGCTACGCAGACGACACACAACTAATCTTCTCCTTTCCCCCTTCTGATAACCAGGTGGCGAATCGCATCTCTGCATGTCTGGCAGACATATCAGTATGGATGACGGATCACCACCTCAAGCTGAACCTTGGCAAGACAGAGCTGCTCTTCCTCCCGGGGAAGGACTGCCCGTTCCATGATCTCGCCATCACGGTTGACAACTCCATTGTGTCCTCCTCCCAGAGTGCGAAGAGCCTTGGCGTGACCCTGGACAACACCCTGTCGTTCTCCGCTAACATCAAGGCGGTGACCCGATCCTGTAGGTTCATGCTCTACAACATTCGGAGAGTACGACCCTGCCTTACACAGGAAGCGGCACAGGTCCTAATCCAGGCACTTGTCATCTCCCGTCTGGATTACTGCAACTCGCTGTTGGCTGGGTTCCCTGCCTGTGCCATTAAACCCCTACAACTCATCCAGAATGCCGCAGCCCGTCTGGTGTTCAACCTTCCCAAGTTCTCTCACGTCACCCCGCTCCTCCGCACACTCCACTGGCTTCCAGTTGAAGCTCGCATCTGCTACAAGACCATGGTGCTTGCCTACAGAGCTGTGAGGGGAACTGCACCTCCGTACCTTCAGGCTCTGATCAGTCCCTACACCCAAACGAGGGCATTGCGTTCATCCACCTCTGGCCTGCTGGCTCCCTTACCTCTGCGGAAGCACAGTTCCCGCTCCGCCCAGTCAAAACTGTTCGCTGCTCTGGCACCCCAATGGTGGAACAAGCTCCCTCACGACGCCAGGACAGCAGAGTCACTCACCACCTTCCGGAGACATTTGAAACCCCACCTCTTTAAGGAATACCTGGGATAGGATAAAGTAATCCTTCTACCCGGTGAAATTACAAAATTACAAAATTAAAGTACTGCAGTGCATCTCCTCCTCATGGACTGCACCAGATTTGCCAGTTCTTGCTGTGAGATGTTACCCCACTCTTCCACCAAGGCACCTGCAAGTTCCTGGACATTTCTGGGGGAATGGCCCTAACCCTCACCCTCCGATCCAACAGGTCCCAGACGTGCTCAATGGGATTGAGATCCGGGCTCTTCGCTGGCCATGGCAGAACACTGACATTCCTGTCTTGCAGGAAATCACACACAGAACTCTGCCACTATATGAGTTTACAAGTGACCTTGTTTCCCTTGCAAACTTGCTTCAGTGAAGCCTCCGTTTAACAGAAAGAATAGCAGAGCCCCGTTTAGTGTAAATGGAATTGGCTATTACTATGACTGGTGGCATTGTCATGCTGGAGGGTCATGTCAGGATGAGCCTGCAGGAAGGGTACCACATGAGGGAGGAGGATGTCTTCCCTGTAACGCACAGCGTTGAGATTGCCTGCAATGACCACAAGCTCAGTCCGATGATGCTGTGACACACCGCCCCAGACTATGACGGACCCTCCACGTCCAAATCGATCCCGCTCCAGAGTACAGGCCTCGGTGTAACCCTCATTCCTTCGACGATAAACGTGAATCCGACCATCACCCCTGGTGAGACAAAACCGCGACTCGTCAGGTGAAGAGCACTTTTTGCCAGTCCTGTCTGGTCCAGCGACGGTGGGTTTGTGCCCATAGGCGACATATTTGACGGTGATGTCTGGTGAGGACCTGCCTTACAACAGGCCTACAAGCCCTCAGTCCAGCCTCTCTCAGCCTATTGCGGACAGTCTGAGCACTGATGGAGGGATTGTGCGTTCCTGGTGTAGCTCGGGCAGTTGTTGTTGCCATCCTGTATCTGTCCCGCAGGTGTGATGTTCGGATGTACCGATCCTGTGCAGGTGTTGTTACACGTGGTCTGCCACTGTGAGGACAATCAGCTGTCCGTCCTGTCTCCCTGTAGCGCTGTCTTAGGCGTCTCACAGTACGGACATTGCAATTTATTGCCCTGGCCACATCTGCAGTCCTCATGCCTCCTTGCAGCATGCCTAAGGCACTTTCATGCAGATCAGCAGGGACCCTGGGCATCTTTCTTTTGGTGTTTTTCAGAGTCAGTAGAAAGGTCTCTTTAGTGTCCTAAGTTCTTAACTGTGACCTTAATTGCCTACCGTCTGTAAGCTGTTAGTGTCTTAGCGACTGTTCCACAGGTGCATGTTCATTAATTGTTTATGGTTCATTGAACAAGCATGGGAAACGGTGTTTAAACCCTTTACAATTAAGATCTGTAAAGTTATTTGGATTTATTTATTATCTTTGAAAGACAGGGTCCTGAAAAAGGGACGTTTCTTTTTTTGCTGAGTTTATATGTTTCCGTAATGGGACCATCAACTTTAGCACCAGAATACTGTAATGCACCTGGCAGCCCCACGTCGCGCTAGTCAACACCAACTCCCTTTATAACACAGCCTAATGGAATTATCCTCGGCTTTTCAAATAAAGTGAAAAAAAAATTATCCAGTCTATAAACTATGCAGCGCTTCTATTGAGTTAAAATTTGCCAACTGTCTAGCAGAGTAAAGTAGCTAGCTTTACAAGTGCATTTAACTTGACAGGCAAGCTCATTGGTCCATTGGTTTAATTAATATTTACTCGTTGATTAAAAGGTTTGGGTGTGATGTAAACACGAAAAACGCCCTTCCCTGACCAAACAAAGTTAAAGTAGTGAGATGATCCCTGATGTTCCATTGCCCAAACTATGTAGCAGAGAGATTGAAATATTTTACCTACCAACACCCTACTACCCCCACAGTGGAATACACCGGTGAGTCACAACTTCACTTTTACACTGACACAACAAACAAGAAAGCCTATCCCAACTCTGTGCCTGAGAAATAATTAATTTCCCAAGATAGAACTCGTCTAAATGAGAGCTGTTTTAAGTCGTAAGCATATAAACACACTCAGAAACTACATTACAATAATCAGGGCGAGGGTAGCTGACATTAAACTTCGGCTCTCGGCCTTGTCAGTTTAGCAGGAAGTAAAGTTGAAAGCGCCCCTCATTATGTCCGAAAATCTTCGGGAAAACCTATTCTTATTTAGTAACTTCAGAAAAAGGCGCTAAATAAGCACTGATCGCTTACCGTCAACCGTAGAATCAGCCAAATCAGTCTTGTTGTTGCCTAGTTGTTTATACTTTTCTGAGTGTTTCAGTAGAAACAAAAAGTATGGTTTACTGTAAACCGGAGGGGGGGGGGGGACTTGAGAGAACACAGAGAGAAGTCCCAGATTTGTTAAACTTCTGATTGGACAAGGCTTCGACATTCCAGGCGCTGATTGGTTCCTCTCACTGTCAGTCTGTATCAGCAGCGTGGACATGGAAATTTGGACGTACAATAGGTAACTCCACCCAGTCGTAAACATCTGTCCGCAGTTTGCGTAGGGAAGGGTGGAGTAACGTAACGCACATTCCAGTCTGCTGAAGCGGGTTGCAACCCGTCCCAGGAATGACTGGCATTATGAGTGCATATTGATGCAGAATACGAAGTTATGACGGTTTATAACTACCCCGTGTCACTGTCATGTGTAGTGTACGATCTGTTACATTTTCGAGTGTGCTGAAAATTCTATGTAGAATTGCACATTCTACGTAGAACATTATACACATTGCACATTCACTCATTATGAAACCAGTACAATGTAGCAGACTCTATAAAACAACATACAGGACAAATGGGGTGTCAAAACTGTTTTTATTGCACTTATAAAAATATGAAAGCATCTTTGAAATCAATAAATGTCTTTACATTGCACGTCGGCAGATAATCAACCCCACCCCAAGTAATAACACTGTCATTTTCACACAAAGAAATACTATATTCATGCTCAACTCACATAAGTAGATTATACAAATGTATAAAAAGTACATAAAACCTTAATGATTAATAAGGCAAAAGTGACTAAATTGTTTGAATGAAGGACTGGCGTTGACCCCTGATCTCTGTTTCTGCAGTGAGAAGTCCCAGATAGAATAGATTACTTTATTACCATTCAACAGTTGTCAAGGGTGTGCTCAATGCCAAGCTATGCCAGACTGTATTGCCTAACTGTAATGGTTAATAGAATAGGCAGGCTAATCTGTAGGCAGTGGCTAGCTGGCTGGTTCCCAGAATATTGTTGAGCCCACTGCCCAGACTGTTTTTATGGCTGCAAGGTTTTAGGTGAGGGACCTGCCTAAACCTTCAAAATAAAGCCCTGACCCAATAGGGAGTGGTTTTGGTTGCAACCGACTAATAGTTCCTGACCCTTCGACTGGGCAACACTGGTGTAGGTTCTTTTTTTTCACCACCAGAGGGACACACTGCAGTGGAATTTTACTGACTGACACCAGTCAGTGAGAGACTGAGCTTGTTCGACATTGCAGCCAACAGCGCAGGTGACTGCAGATTGACTGATCTGCAAATCACCTTGCATCATAAATAATGACTCATTATTACTTGTAGATCAGTCAGTCAGTCACAACGTACACATGATACATCACGGTTTTGATGCTCTTGAACATAGCCACTGACTATTCTGATGTGTGTGTGTGGGGGGGGGGGAGAAAGTGTGTTGTGTGTGCGTGCGTGCGTGCGTAAGGCGTGCGCATGTGTTTGTCTCAGTGTATAGGCCCAGTGTTAACCCAGCTTAGTGTATAAGAGCTGTGTGCGTTTTCCACTTTGTGCCGGAGGACGCTTTTTCCCGCCCCCGGAGAGCTATGGACCAATCGAAACGCAGCGTCCTGGAGCCCCTGTAGAACGCTGAACCAATAACGGACCACCTCAGCCTCTGTCCCGCCGACCTCAAAGCCGGCCCACTGGAGGTGCACCGTGGCAACCAGGTGACTGACGCGCCCTAGAGTTCCGAGCTCCGCCCAGTTCTGCAGAACCCTCCACTCAGCACTCAGCAGGTCAGCATACAGGAAGTCCACCTGGCAAAAACAGACAACCATATGTGTTTATATACACGTCATTAAAAAGTAGCAAAACAATGAAAAGACAGCTCGGGGCTATGTTTCATCAGTGTGTGTGTATATTCAGTTTAAGTCGGAAGTTTACATACACTTAGGTTGGAGTCATTAAAACTCGTTTTTCAACCACTCCACAAATTTCTTTTAAAAAAACTATAGTTTTGGCAAGTCGGTTAGGACATCTACTTTGTGCATGACACAAGTAATTTTTCCAACAATTGTTTACAGACAGATTATTTTACTTATAATTAACTGTATCACAATTCCAGTGGGTCAGAAGTTTACATACACTAAGTTGACTGTGCCTTTAAACAGCTTGGAAAATTCCAGACAATGATGTCATGGCTTTAGAAGCTTCTGATAGGCTAATTGACATCATTTGAGTCAATTGGAGGTGTACCTGTGGATGTATTTCAAGGCCTACCTTCAAACTCAGTGCCTCTTTGCTTGACATCATGGGAAAATCAAAATAAATAAGCCAAGACCTCAGAAAAGCAATGGTAGACCTCCACAAGTCTGGTTCATCCTTGGGAGCAATTTCCAAACGCCTGAAGGTACCACGTTCATCTGTACAAACAATAGTACGCAAGCATAAACACCATGGAACCACGCAGCTGTCATACCGCTCAGGAAGGAGACGCGTTCTGTCTCCTAGAGATGAATGTACTTTGGTACGAAAAGTGCAAATCAATCCCAGAACAACAGCAAATGACCTTGTGAAGATGCTGGAGGAAACAGGTACAAAAGTATCTATATCCACAGTAAAACGAGTCCTATATCGACATAACCTGAAAGGCCGCTCAGCAAGGAAGAAGCCACTGCTCCAAAACCGCCATAAAAAAGAGACTACGGTTTGCAACTGCACATGTGGACAAAGATTGTACTTTTTGGAGAAATGTCCTCTTGTCTGATGAAACAAAAATAGAACTGTTTGGCCATAATGACCATCGTTATGTTTGGAGGAAAAAGGGGGGTGTCTTGCAAGCCGAGGAACACCAACCATCCTAACCGTGAAGCATGGGGGTGGCAGCATCATGCTGTGGGGGTGCTTTGCTGCAGGAGGGACTGGTACACTTCACAAAATAGATGGCATCATGAGGAAGGAAAATTATGTTGATATATTGAAGCAACACCTCAAGACATCAGTCAGGAAGTTAAAGCTTGGTCGCAAATGGTTCTTCCAAATGGACAATGACCCCAAGCATACTTCCAAAGTTGTGGCAAAAAGGCTTAAGGACAACAAAGTCAAAGTATTGGAGTGGCCATCACAAAGCCCTGACTTCAATCCTATAGAACATTTGTGGCCAGAACTGAAAAAGCTTGTGCGAGCAAGGAGGCCTTGCTTATACCTAACCAATAGTCTGCGATGTACACAGGAGCTAGTGCAGGGTTTCCCAAACTCTGTCCTCGGGACCCCAAGGGGTGCACGTTTTGGTTTTTGCCCTAGCACTACACAGCTGATTCATATAATCAACTAATCATTAAGCTTTGATCATTTGAATCAGCTGTGTAGTGTTAGGGCAAAATCCAAAACGTGTACCTCTTGGGGTCCCGAGGACCGAGTTTGCGAAACGCTGGGCTAGTGGGATCGATTTGGGAGAAGGAAGAAAGAAAGAAAAAGTGAATGTTTCACTCCCCTCCAGTGGTTGCAGTGTGTAACTGCAGCAGTGGTGTGATTCACTGTTGCTATGGCAGCCAGGGTCAGCTCTCATCCCTGTTGCCATGGAAACGGGAGTGCAGGCAGCCCTGTCTGTGAGTACTGTGAATGTTACGTGTGTATGTCTGTTGTGTACTGTAGTGTGAGTTACTGTATGTGTTACAGTGTTGCTGTGTGAGTGACCGTGCGTGTGTCTGTGTGTGTAAAAGCCGATTTATGCTTGATCCGGAAAAGTGGTCCGGAGGCTCTGTACGGAGGGTGTGACGCAATTGCAGAGCCTCTGGAGGCTTGCGGAGGCCAAATCGAGTTCTGTATGGCGATGCCGTGCGCCTCCCAAATTATTTTACAATGCGGAGGGCTCTACATAGCGCCGAATAGCTCCGCATTGACATGATTGGTTGATGGTAGGTGGGGGCGGTACATCCTGTATAAACATAAACTCACTTCCTTGACAACTTCCTTCACAACAAACATGCAGAACTTTGACGAAAGACTATCAGGACAAGTTCACAAATATAAACATCTTTACGATACCTCGTGTAGGGATTTCAAAGACACAAAAATTAGTTTGAACGGGGAGGTAATGGGGATAGATGCAGTAACGATGTCAATGGAATGCAGACTGTGGGGGATGGAAGGATGCTGGATTAGCGCACATTCAACTAATCTGGGTAGGGGTGTGGATCAGAAAACCAGTCAGTATCTGGTGTGACCACCATTTGCCTCATGCAGCGCGACACATCTCCTTCACATAGAGTTGATCAGGCAGTTGATTGTGGGCTGTGGAATGTTGTCCCACTCCTCTTCAATGGCTGTGTAAAGTTGCTGGATAGCTGGATGGCTATAGAGATTAGCCCTGAATCACTATGAGTGCAGACTAATTTATTGGGTGTGTATGACAGCTCCCCGAAGCGCAAGAAGTATGAATGCTCTGACTTCTGCAGAGGCCGCATCACCGTAAATGCTGTATGGCCACTGCAGAACACGGATTGACCATAAATTGGCTTTTACCGTGTGATGTCCCAGAGTCTCCATGATGTCCTCGAGTGTCCGGGACCCGCTACCCAGAACCCCCTTCTTCTTCTGCTTGCGTCCTCTCGCTGCTCGCCAGTCCAGCCACACCCGGTGCTGTCGGAAACCACCAGAACCATCGTCACCACGGTTACGGTAACCACTGCTGGCTCTGTCACCATGGTGACCACTGGGGTCAAATCTGTGGACTTCACAGGCCTTTGAGAGAGCCTCTAGGAACCCTGTATCACCTTCATCCATACTACACACAGAGACAGAGAGATGGAGAGAGAGAGTTGTAGATAAGAGAGAGATATGGGAGTGAGGAAGAGATTATGATTTGTTTAAAACTGTTTTACATTATTAACAAGTTTCGGGGAGGGAGCATGTCAGTGATGTTATGATATTGTATAATGATGGTAATAAACTGTTTGGTTCACATTGCTATAGAATAGGCTACATTGTATTGAAGTTCCAGTGGCACGTATACAGAGACGCACAGACACACTCATACACACACCTGAAAGAGTATGCTACACACGGAGGACCCTGGCTTGGCAGGCTCCAGCCCTCCACACAAAGCAGCCAGAGAGCTCCAGAGACCTGTGAAGCGTGTGACTCGCCTGGTAGCAGCACCCGGGAACAGTTCACCTGCAGGGGGACAGGACAGAGCAATGAGGGGCCTGGCTGGAGGAGGAATGGAAGTGCTGAGTCATCATTAGGCCCAGAGGAAGTCATGTGACACAGACTTCCTGTCTGAGCGAGAGAGGGGACGTTGAGAAAAATATTTTTTTTATGCTGTCTGTTGCCCCAAATCTGTTTTTTAGGGGGCTTTTTTCCACTGATGTTCTCTAACATGTTGGGAAACCCTGGTTCAGAGGTTTTTAGTTCAAACATATATAATGGTTTACAGTGACATGTTAAGTGTCTGGTCTCAAATACCACACTGTCATTACTCTCTGACCCCAGCATCTTTGAAATATGATGAAATACTTCAGAACCTAGGCTGTATGTGTCAAGCTTCACAAAGTAGGAGTGCTGATCTAGGACAGACCTGGGTTCAAGTACTTGAATAATCATTTCTAATACATTGAGCGTTTGCTTGAGTCTGCCTGGCGTGCCAGACTGGCAGGCTTTGCAGTTTTAGGAGTTTATTATTGGTTTATTAAGCCAGGCAAGCTCAAACAGGCACACGTAGTTGATCAAATGTTTAAAGTATTTGAAACTCAGGTCTGATCTAGGATCAGTTTTATAATGAAAAATATAATATAATGAAAAATATTATATGGACAGGAGGGACCTGATCCTAGATCAACATTCCTACTCTAAGACGCTTCATGACTACGGACCCAGGTCTGTTATATACAGTGCATTTCTATCTGAATTATTTATGACGTGTGGGCCTGGGTGTAAAGTGGGCATGGTTATGTACCTGTGGTGTGGTAATGTAAGCGATGACACGTTCCAGTTCTGCAGTGAAGGAGGGCTCACCTGATGCCCACTGCTGCAGCTCAAACCCTCTACCTCTCTCCTGTGGGTAGACACATGCGTCATCAGGGTAACACATGCACGCCACTCGCAATCACAAACACACACATAAGCTGTGTTCGAATACCCATACTAACATACTGTATACTACATACTTAATGAGTATATACTACATATTATTACTTCATTTTAGTATACTGTAAACCAGGACTGCCCAACCCTGTTCCTGGAGAGCTACCGTCCTGTAGGTTTTTGCTCCAACCCTAATCTAACACACCTGATTCTAATAATTACCAGGTTGATAAGATGAATCAGGTTAGTAGCACCTGGGGCTGGAGCGAAGACCTACAGGAGGGTAGCTCTCCAGGAACAGGGTTGGGCAACCCTGCTGTAAACAAACAGTATCCTTTCAGTTGAGTGTACTAGTGCTTCGCCGGTCTAACGGAAGTTGATGCTGTTGCTATGCAACTTCTTCCTAGCTTGTTAGCTTACCTAACAAATTACTAGCTAGACATCTTACGACTTCATTAACAATGTCCATTGAGAACGCACAACGACTATACCACTTACAGTGCATTCGGAAAGTATTCAGACCCCTTGACTTGTTCCACATTTTGTTACATTACAGCCTACACACAATACCCATAATGACAAAGCAAAAACTTGTTTTTATAAATTTTTGCAAATGTATAAAAAATAAACTGAAATATCCCATTTCCATAAGTATTGAGACCCTTTACTCAGCACTTTGTCGAAGCACCTTTGGCAGCGATTACAGCCGCGAATCTTCTTGGGTATGACGCTACAAGCTTGGCACACCTGTATTTGGGGAGTTTCTCCCATTCTTCTCTGCAGAGCCTCTCAAGCTCTGTTATGTTGGATGGAGAGCATCGCTGCACAGCTATTTTCAGGTCTCTCCAGAGATGTTAGATCGTGTTCAAGTCCGGACTCTGGCTGGGCCACTCAAGGACATTCAGAGACTTGTCCCGAAGCCACTCCTGCGTTGTCTTGGCTGTATGCTAGGGTCGTTGTCCTGTTGGAAGGTGAACCTTCGCCCCAGTCTGAGATCCTGAGCGCTCTGGAGCAGGTTTTCATCAAGGATCTCTCTGTACTTTGCTTTGTTCATATTTCCCCCGATCCTGATAGTCTCCCACTCCCTGCCGCTGAAAAACATCCCTACAGCATGATGCTGCCACCACCATGCTTCACCGTAGGGATGGTGCCAGGTTTCCTCCAGACGTGACGCTTGGCATTCAGGCCAAAGAGTTCAATCTTGGTTTCATCAGACCAGAGAATCTTGTTTCTCATGGTCTGAGAGTCCTTTAGGTGCCTTTTGGCAAACTCCAAGCGGGCTGTCATGTGCCTTTTACTGAGGAGTGGCTACCATAAAGGCCTGATTGGTGGAGTGCTGCAGAGATGGTTGTCCTTCTGGAAGGTTCTCGCATCTCCACAGAGGAACTCTGGAGCTCTGTCAGAGTGACCATAGGGTTCTTGGTCACCTCCCTGACAAGGCCCTTCTCCCACAATTGCTCAGTTTGGCCGGGCGGCCAACTCTAGGAAGAGTCTTGGTGGTTCCAAACTTCTTCCATTTAAGAATGATGGAGGCCACTGTGTTCTCGGGGACCTTCAATGCTGCAGATATTTTTTGGTACCCTTCCCCAGATCTGTGCCTCGACACAATCCTGTCTCGGAGCTCTACGGACAATTCCTTCGACCTCATGGCTTGGTTTTTGCTCTGACATGCACTGTCAACTGTGGGACCTTATATAGACAGGTGTGTGCCTTTCCAAATCATGTCCAATCAATTGAATTTACCACAGGTGGACTCCAATCAAGTTGTAGAAATATCTCAAGGATGATCAATGGAAACAGGATGCACCTGAGCTCAATTTTGAGTCTCATAGCAAAGGGTCTGAATAGTTATGTAAATATGGTATTTCTGTTTTATATTTGTAATAAATGTGCAACAATTTATAAAATCCTGTTTTTGCTTTGTCATTATCGGGTATTGTGTGTAGATTGATGAGGATTGTATTTTATTTTATCCAGAATAAGGCTGTAATGCTCTTATAGCATGAACTGATATGTTGTATACCCAATCAAAGGATCAGAGAATGAATCTAGTACTGAAAGCATAAGCTACAGCTACCTAGCACTGCAGTGCATAAAATGTGGTGAGTAGTTGACTTAAAGAGAGAGAAGAGAGAGAGAGAAAAAATAGAGAAATAAATTAATTTCTTAAATGGACAAGCAAGAGAGAAGAGAGAGATGTAATTTTTTTCAGTTTTACTTACTTAGCTAGCAAATGCAGGTAGCTAGTTTAGCCTACTCAAACACCCTGCTCAAACAGAGGGATGCAATGTTAGCTAGCTGGCTATGACTATGAAACACAACACTGGAACTCTTGCAAGTCAAGGTAAGCTTTTGGTTTGACTGATTTATTGCCACCGGGGCCCGCCAGTGTAACTGCTAAACTGCTAACTGACTATAAACTGTAAAGTTACTGCATGATTGTAGCGGGTTTACTAACGCTTTAGTTATTTTAGCTATGTTGACTATGACGTTACTTTAGCTAACATGGTGACAACGACGTAGGCTGTGTGTAGCAGTTATATGGTTTGGCTTGGAAAGGTTTTTTCGCCTGGTCACATACAGCAGATGTGTTGTGCATTGAAATCCATAAACGAAGGGAAAAGGTTAGAAGAGGAGAGTGCATAGATGCGATTCTGTTAAAAAGCTGATTCTGTTAAAAAACGTTTCTTAAACGGAAGCAAACTAAACGAAACGGGGATAAACATACCTGAATTTGTCCAATAGAAACTCTTGTTTGCAACTGTTGGACTAATGATTACACCCGAGATCAGCTAGATGCAGGCAAGAGTGTGCAAGGCTGTGTCAGTGTCTGTGACCTCAACATTTTCTCTCGACCTGTGTGCACCTACGTTGTAATCTTTAATTAATTAATAGGCTAGTTTGTAGCAACCTCATGATGGGTTAGGGAAAATTTGAGTATCATGTAGTAGTCTAAACCTATCGATGTTTAATTTAACTGGGTGAACGGAATATGAATGACAGTCATTCAATATACTGTAATAGAAATAAGGCCATGCTCATGAAAAATAAAACTCTGCCTCCCTCATCTTAAACGGCACAGACCGCCACTGACATGCCGGTACATACAAGCAGTGTGTCACATGTAGAGAGGAGTAGGCAGGAGGCAGACGCAGGTTTAGAACTACTGAATTATTTAAAGCACCATAGCTTAAAGCAGGATGAAACCCACAGTGCAGAATATAAAGTACTCAGGAAATAGTAGGAGAGATTCCTCTCAGGAAAATAAGCAACATATACAATGACCGACAAAGACAAATGACAGAGGGAGTATATATACAGTGATAGAGTGGGGATTGGAACCAGGTGTGTGTAATGATGACGAGACAAGTCCAGGGTTGATTAGTGAAGGGTGTTTGCCAGCAGCAGGTTCGGCAGCAGCTAGCATCCCGGCGACACCGAATGCCTGAGCTGGACAGGAGGGGGAGCCCCCCCCCGATGCGCTGCTCCAGCAGCGTGGGCGCCGCTGACCTTGGGGACGACCCCGGAGAAGCGGTGCAGGTCAGTCGGGACGACACCTGTTGAAATCCCGAATGAGAGAACGGTCCAGGACGTCCCGCGCCGGAACCCAGCACCGCTCTTCGGGACCGTACCCCTTCCAGTCGACCAGGTACTGGAGAGACCCCCCACGACGCCTTGAGTCCAACAGGCTGCGGACGGAGTACGCCAGGGCTCCCTCGACGTCCAAGGGAGGGGGAGGTGCGTCGTGGGGTCCAGCACTAGCCAAGGGACCAGCTCCACCGGCCTGAGGATAGATACATGAAATGAGGGTGAGATACGGTAATTGACGGGGAGCTGTAATCTGTACGTCACCTCATTGATTCTCCTCATGACTTTGAACAGCCCTACAAACCGCGGGCTCAGCTTCCGGGAGGGCAGGCAGAGGGGCAGGTCCTTTATAGAAAGCCAGACCCTGTCACCGGCGTGAAAGACCGGGGCCACACTGCGGTGACGATCGGCCTGCGGCTTCTGCCGGAGGACGACGCGCTGGAGACGGGTGTGCGCTGTGTTCCATACCTCCTCGGCACGCCAGAACCAATCGTCCACCGCAGGACCCTCGATCTGACTCCGGTGCCAGGGTGCCAGGGCCAGCTGATAGCCTAAAACACACTGAAAGGGTGTGAGGTTAGTGGAGGAGTATGGAGGGAGATTTGTGCGTATTCTGCCCAAGGCAGAAACGCAGCCCACTCCCCCGGCCGGTTCTGACAGTAACTACGAAGGTACCTACCCAGTTCCTCATTTACCCCTTTCCACCTGCCCATTTGATTGGAGACGGTACCCGGAGGTAAGGCTGACCATGACCCCCAGTCGTTCCATGAAGGCCTTCCAGACACAGGAGGTGAACTGAGGACCACGGTCAGACACAATGTCCTCCGGGATCCCGTAGTGCCGGAAGACATGAGAGAAGAGAGCCTCCGCGGTCTGCATGGCCGTAGGGAGACCAGGCAGAGGAATCAGACGACAGGCTTTGGGAAACCGGTCCACAACGACCAGGACGGTGGGTAGAGTTTGCCATAGGGGAGGTGTCTCGGTGTCTTACTCTGTGCGCAGGAAGAGCAGGAAGAGACGTAAACCCGGATGTCCTGGGCCAAGGTGGGCCACCAGTACTTGGCGGAGAGACAGTCGATAATACGGGCTCTACCCGGGTGGCCCGACACAGGTACTGTGTGTGCCCAGATGAGGAGACGGTCCCGCACATCAGAGGGCACGTAGATACGCCCCTCGGGACAGTGGGCAGGTGAGGGCTCCCGTTTCAGGGCTCGACGGATGTCATTACCCTGTATTCGTAGTGCCGGTGCTGAAGGCGGTCTTCCATTCATCCCCCTCTCTGATGCGCACCAGTTTGTAGGCACTGTGTAAATCCAATTTGGTAAAGTACTTTGCACCGTGCATCTGTTCGATCACAGTGGGTATGAGAGGCAGGGGATAAATTAATTTAACCGTAGCCTTATTCGATACAGGGGCGGA